GCGGTTCGGATATATCCGAACCGTTTGGCACCCCTAGTTGTTACTGTAGCTACAGTAATAACCTTTGCATTTATTGAGAGATCTCAAGTTTGAGATCTGCTCTTGCATTGTAATATATTTGATTAATAAGAAATTAATTATGTGGCTCCCGAGGACGTAGACAAGTTTGTCGAACCTCATAAATCTTGGTGTACTTTTCTCTATACTGTGTTTTTTGCTGTTTGAGGGGTTTAGCGTAGCCCCCTGAGTATTTCCTAACACCGATAAACATAGTCACTATGTCTCATGCATAATGAAGCCTATAAACAATAAATTACCAGTAATTTCAATTCTTTTGAGACGATTTATTAGTATTCCAATGGTACAACCAATATAGACATCAAGAGTTTTACAACCAATATAGACATCAAGAGTTTTCCACTCTGTCGACTTATTTATTTTACTTATTTAGGTGATGAAATAATAAATTTTTTAAATGAGGATACCTCTTCGACCAAATGGAACAGTGTAGACAGGGCAATCCGATACTGACTTACCAATTCAGCAACACGCAAGCTGGATTAATGTTATACCACGGTAAAAAAAGTTAGCAAAAACACTAATATCTAACACATAACAAAATAATAACTGAAAAAATAATAAATAAATAAATAAATGAGACTCACTCGCAGGAGACGTGTGATGGCAGCCGAGGGAAACAGCCAATTTCTACAGGTTCAAGCTATACAAACTATCCAAACTGAAGGACCTAAGGGTAATTTGGGTTATAAAATAGCAAGTCGTCGGTAATTATGTAGAAATAATAGCCATATTACTAAACTAAGACGCACCCACAGACTTCTCAAAAAAAAAAAATCTCAATATTGTCAAATGATCAATTCTCAGCCGAATTCAGACTCCAAAGACTCAAAGGTTCAGCTAATTTGGATCCAATTCATGCTAAAAACAAGTTTGAGCATATAATTAATTGCAACCTGATATCCATTCTCAAGTGCAGCAAGTAGCAGAAGGCTGAATCGTGATCCCCTTCTGACAAGTAGCAAGTTAGTAATGTAGTGGGTAGGCGGTTACTATAGATACAATAACTTTCAATAAGTTTTCCCTCAAACACCAGAAGCTATTTAGAGGAGGAGATTTATTTGAATCCACATGACCATTAGGGAAAACACTCTGCTGGGATAAAAAGAAAGACTGGTACTAATTAATTAAGAGTTCATACTTAGAATGGATTACTGAATAATACCATGAACATACATTTATCAAATCAATGCGAAATAGCACTTTATAAGGTCATAATTAATGTAAGCAATACAAAATAGAACCCATAATGACACGAAACTAGCGACGACATCACTTATGATGCAGGCAATATCCACATGGGTGTAAGTCCCGAGGGCTGAAGACGAGAGCAAGCCATATGAACTGATGTGCATCCTTCCTCCAGGTCGAAACAATACACGCGCTTATCATTAGTTTCTACATAATATATGCAATCTCCCTTGACGCCAAGTTCACTCGCAGACCACGACGCTGAAGAATTTTCGCTTCCTAATAGGATCACCCTCCCGCCAATACTGTAAACTGTATCCCATGCTTGTCTCGACGAGTCTCTCTTCTTGACCGAAATATGCGTGGTTTTATTTGATTTGTGAGCCCTTTTAAAGCAATCAACTGAATACATCTCGCCGCAAGATTCAACCAGGTATGATATTCTTGTAGAAGCCCCAACGGGCCAATGAATATTCAATGGTTCCAATATATTTATTCGAGGGTTTGGGGAGCAATCAATTGTTGCAAAGTTATCTTGCAACGTAAGACCATAGAACTTTCCATCACAAGTTGCAACATTTGAAAGATAGTTATCTCCAAGGTTGTACTTGTAAAGAGTCCATTTTGTATCTCCATCTTGATAGAAGAAGAGTAATCTTTTCCCCATGTCAGCGCATAATACCGTGCAATTTTCATCTGTTGGAGAAGAGGATAAGGTGCAGATAAGGTTGGTGACAGGACTAGCTTCCTGTTGCAGGGAAGGTAGGTTTTTCTTCGACATAGTGAGAGGGTCAAATAAGCAACAGTGTTTACCGTGTGGGTGAACAATTAGCATCCATCCCTGAGGAGTTGGAAAACACATGCCATTTTGCATCTGTTCAATATTCCGAATATAACATCCTTTAGAAAGATTGAAGAAGGTTTGATATCTTTGCTTCTTCATTTCATAAAAGAAGATGATGCATGGGCTAGACTGAGCTTTATTAATTGACACTGATTCATCCGGTTTCTTTTCTTCTTCCATATCTGCACAAGTTCTCGAAACTTATTATACCAGGATAGTCAGGAGCTTCTGAGAATCCCTATAAGGAAAACATATTTAATACGGAGTCGCACTCATAAACATAGTTAAAAACTTAAGCTCAATTTAAATCATAAATCAATAGACATGTACATGTCGAATGTGAAGAAGTAGACCTCTAAATCTTTTATAATGAACGTTACGGTTATAAATCATTAATCAATGACTCGTATAAATGACAACCGATTAATGTTATCTTCATGCAAGAATTTTCCTTTAAGGTTTGAAAATTATCACAACTATAGGTTATAATAGTAACAAATAGGTAATATATATATATATATATATAAACTCTCGGATTAACTAATTTTCCTATCGGAACTCCTCCGAGGGGTAGGACGATTTAAAAAAAAAAAAATCTGATTTCCTAAGTTTTGTAGGATAACGAACGAGGTTGCACCGTTGCAGCCTTCGTCGTGAAAATGTATGTACAAGTAATGCTCAGGCGGACTAAATGATGTGGCTGAGTAAATAAATGTGACCTATTAGCATGCCCAATTCCAAAAAGCCCATAGCTTGTCAATTAGGTAACACAGAGGCCGCCCGGTCCAAGGAATCAAAGGGAGCGTAGCTGGCCAGGGAATGAAGACACGTGTTTAGTTGGTTACGTGGAGTTATATAGCTTGTTTGGATTTGCGAGGGGAAGTTATTGAGAATATAGAATGAGTTAAGTTAAGATAAGGTAAGGAAACATGTAAAATTTATTTGGGAAATTAGTAAGAAAAATCAAGGAGAACTTATTTCATATCGTTTAGAAAGTTCAATAAATTGAAATGAATGGAATGGAATATGTGTAAACTCACATAAATAACATTGCATGTTATTAAGTTATTTTATTATCAGAAGTTAGATAGAATGTAAAATGATCTCTCCATAATTGTTCTATTATTAGAAGTTCCCTTAACTTCCTTTCACCCTAATTACACCGCAAATTAGAAAGTAACTAAAAGTTAATTTTTCTCCCAATTTTATCTTCCCTTCTTCCCCCATTACCTAGCATAAGTTTATGTCTGTAGCTTCGGTACTCCATAAAGATTTGTTAGATCGAGCATCGGTGGCAATATCTATAAATAAATTCCTTAAAATAGCTCTCACATCTCTAGATAGATAGATTTGACGGTTATGAGGTGTTCCACACCAAAAATTGTAATTAACTATAATTTCAATTAGATAAAAAAGTTATTTTAGGAAATACAATTTAGGTGAGAAACAGAATTTATGATTTGTTAGAATTCTCCAACTAACCACGTACAAATATACGTAGAGAAATTGATTTTAAGGTCCGTTAAAACTCCAAACTAACCACGTACAGAAAACGATGTAATTTTTTTTACAAGATATGCTCATAATTAAATTAAACAATTTAATTTTATATTAGTCTTAGTTTTTATTTCCATTGGTTATTTTGATCGAACTATGTTCATATGCGGTAACAAAATTTTTTTGTTTCTAGCAAATTATTTTTTAAAATTTCAAGATAACATTTATTTTTGATTTTTAAAGTTAGTTATAAATCTAACTATTTTCTTCTTGTTTCTACCGATCTTCAATTTCCATATAGATAAAATTTTAAATTTTCCTTTTTTGTATAAATAAATTTCTTCAACTTTAAGTGATTAATTTGTTAACAATCTCTATAAAAGAAGTGTGGGAATTTTAGTTTTGGCAAAGAGAGATAGACTAGTAGAAAAACATGGGAAGACAAATGTACTCTTTCTATTTTTAAGCCTAACTTCTTTTTTTGTCAAATTAAAATTAAAAGAAACTACTAATTATTGGAGCACCGAAGTAAACCTCTAAGTTTATTCCCAAGTAAGAGTAAAGATTCCCCTAACTTTCCTTATCTCTCATTATCCCCAATCCAACAAAAACCTGTAAACTAAGAGAGAGTGTAAGTGCATGCGTGTGCACATGCACAATGTAATAGTATATATGCAGGCCTGTTATTAACGTGGGGGTAAATTTACCACGTCAATGATGTCCATCGAAAGTCAGTAGGTTTTTAATTTTTTTTGACAATGATTATTGAAACTGCTTCTATTTTTAAGTGGATGTCTAAAGATTCTTTTAAAAGTATATTTTGTTTTTTATTTAAAGCATATGTGTAATACATTTTATCTTTTAATAATGTCCAATAAGCACAGTTCTACCAAACATCATAATCGTTTTTCAAGCGGATTTTAATTTTTGACTACCAAACAACTATTTTTAGCATCTTATATAAATTGTTTCTATATATTACTTTAAGAAGCAACTAATCACAAGCTTCTGCAAACTAATACTAAATCTCTGGGGTAACACTCCCGTGAGCTTAACAATTTAATCACAAGACTAAATATCAGGTTAAATCAATGAGATCGTAGCTAACCCATAATTTCGTGTCTAAATTTAGGTGTCACAACTATACATATCTCACTGAATCTATATGATGAAAGGCGGACCCAAAAAAAAGAATCATTGTAAGAATTTTTCCTGTAAGGTCTGAAAATTATCACAACTATAGGTTATAATAGTATCAAATAGGTAATATATATGAAAGAATAATATAGCATGTGGAGGAATTAAGAAGGAGACATCTATACCTGATTGTAGATTTGTAACAGAGAGGTTGGTTAATAAAAAGAAGACTTGATTACGATCATGAGAAGCACGAACAGCACAGGATCGGAGGAGTAAACATAGTTTAATTCTTTAGGTTGGATCTCCCCGATATATATAGGGCGGGCTACGTGGGCTTGTTAATTGTATACGGGATTATTACGGTGCCTATCACCACTCCTCGGAACATTAGGACCATTAACCAAAATTCTGGTTCCTAATTTTTATAGGATAACGCACGAGCTTGTCTTCTTTGTCAAAAAAATTTGTCTCGGATCTTATGGTGTAAAATAAAAACAAGAGAAAGGCCCATTGGAACAGCCTCTATGAAAGGCCCAATAAATTACTTTGAGAAATAATATTGTATTTTAACAAGGTATTTTGTGTGCATATGTGTGTAATATTATTTCATCCTGTGACTTTTATAGGATGGTAATTTCATCGCGTGAATATCCAGCTATTTTCTAAAAATCTAATTACTAAAATGACGGTCTAAATTTAGATATCACAACTATAGATATCTCATTGAATCTATTATGAAAGGCGGATCTCCCAAAAAAGAAAGGAATCATGGTAAGAATTTTTCTTTGAGGTCTGAAAATTATCACAACTATTGACCTTCCACTAATATTCTAAACCAGCATTAAAAAGGCTGCCGAATTACCCTAACAAATTAAGTGCCATGGTTCCAACTATGGTTACAATAGTAGCAAATAGGTAATATATATATATATATATATATATAGTATATATATATATATATATATGAAAGAATAATATAGCATGTGGAGGAATTAAGAAGGAGACATATATACCTGATCGTAGATTTGTAACAGAGAGGTTAATAAAGAGAAGGCTTGATTACGATTATGGGCAGCACGAACAGCACTGGATCGGAGAAGTAAATATGATTTAAATCTTTTAGATTGGGTCTCCCCTATATATATACATAGGGCCGGCTACGTGGGCTTGTTAATTGTATACCGAAACCTTAGGACCATAAACAAAATTCTGATTTCCTAATTTTAATAGGATAGCATTGTAGTCTTTGTCGAGCAAATTTGTCTAGCCTCTTATGGAGTAAAACCAAAGGAAAGCCCACAAAACATAAAATTCTAAGGACAATGGAGATCTTAAACTTCTAGGATTAGGACTAGTCAGATAGAGAGGGGGTCTACTTAAAAAGAGTTGTTAGTACTCTAACGCCCCAAAATTTAACTCTTCTCTGTCAGGCGCCTATCAACTCCAAAACCCACCGAAAGTGCACAGCCAATGTTGAAAAGGAGAAAGAAAACAAAAGAGCGGGCCCCACTGCTACAGTAAAATATTAATATTTTATTGTGCATAGTGTTTTTCAAAAAACTATAAATAGGGCTCCAAATCCTTAAGGAAATCTCATCCCAAAAACAACTTCTTATATAAGAAGAGTGAGAGAGAAAAAATAGAGAGAGTTTCTCCTTGTAAAGAGAGAGAGTTTGTATCTCCAGAGTTTTCTCCTCATAGTAAATTCTTCTATCCTTGCCCGTGGACGTAGGCAATCAAGTGCCGAACCACGTAAATCTGTGTGTCCAACATTTTACTCTACTTTTGCTCTACTATTGTTGCAATCCTGCTCTATTGGGCCCCGGGTTTGTCCCAACAAGTGGTATCAGAGCCAACTTAGGGTACTTGTATATATCTACTTATCGTATGCTCTGTGGCTGCCACCAAAGGTGGATCCTCCACATCAGAAAATAAGTTAGGTTATCATTTACCCTTTGAAGGTGACGGGTACTATTCACGAGTACGGTACTGTTCACAAATACGGTACTATTCACAATTACGGTACTATTCACGGATACGGTTACTGTTCATAAATACAGTACTATTTACGTGAAATAGTAAGAAGTTACTGTTCGTGGTAGAAGCAATGGAGGCAAAATTCAAGATCGAGAAATTCGATGGGAGTAATTTCTCATTGTGGAAGTTGAAGATAAAGGCTATCTTGAGAAAAGATAATTGCCTGGCGGCCATCGGTGCAAGGCCGGACGACATCACAGATGATAAGAAGTGGAACGAGATGGACGAAAATGCTATTGCAAATCTCCATCTGGCATTAGCAGACGGGGTGCTGTCAAGCATAGAGGAGAAGAAGACAGCAAAGGAGATCTGGGATACTCTAACAAAGCTATATGAGGCGAAATCCATGCACAATAAAATCTTCTTAAAAAGGAGACTTTACACTCTGAGGATGGCGGAATCTACATCGATGACCGACCACATCAACACCCTAAACACACTGTTCTCCCAACTCACAACGTTGGGATATACAGTTGGTGCGAATGAACGTGCAGAACTTCTACTTCAGAGTCTACCTGACTCGTATGATCAACTCATCATCAACCTGACGAACAACGTCCTCACGGACAATCTAGTCTTCGACGATGTTGCAGCCGCTGTTCTGGAGGAAGAAAATCAGCGCAAGAACAAGGAAGACAGACAGACAAGTTCGCAGTAAGCGGAGGCCTTGTCGGTGACGAGAGGAAGATCAACAGAACGTGGCTCCAGTGGGAGTCATGCCCATGGTAGATCGAAATCACGAAGTAAGAAGAATATCAAATGCTACAACTGTGGCAAAAGAGGGCACGTCAAATCGGAGTGTTGGCACAACAAGAAGAGTGGAGATAAAAAGTCTTCAGAGCCATCAACATCTCAAGGATGCATTGTCAGCACGTCAGAGGATGGTGAAATTCTATTCAGTGGAGCAACCACTGTTGATGAAGGCAGAAAGAAGTTTGCTGATGTCTGGCTTCTAGATTCAGCAGCCTCTTGGCACATGACCTCTCGGAGAGATTGGTTTCACAAATATGAACCTATCTCAGGAGGATCTGTATTCATGGGGAATGATCATGCCTTGGAGATTTGTGGTATTGGTACTATCAAAATCAAAATGTTTGATGGTATAATACGCACCATTCAAGATGTGCGACATGTGAAGGGCTTGAAGAAGAATCTATTGTCTTTGGGACAAGAGAGGAAGATCAACGGAACGTGGCTCCAGTGGGAGTCATGCCCATGGTAGATCGAAATCACGAAGTAAGAAGAATATCAAATGCTACAACTGTGGCAAAAGAGGGCACGTTAAATCGGAGTGTTGGCACAACAAGAAGAGTGGAGATAAAAAGTCTTCAGAGCCATCAATATCTCAAGGATGCGTTGTCAGCACGTCAGAGGATGGTGAAATTCTATTCAGTGGAGCAACCACTGTTGATGAAGGCAGAAAGAAGTTTGCTGATATCTGGCTTCTAGATTCAGCAGCCTCTTGGCACATGACCTCTCGGAGAGATTGGTTTCACAAATATGAACCTATCTCAGGAGGATCTGTATTCATGGGGAATGATCATGCCTTGGAAATTTATGGTATTGGTACTATCAAAATCAAAATGTTTGATGGTATAATACGCACTATTCAAGATGTGCGACATGTGAAGGGCTTGAAGAAGAATCTATTGTCTTTGGGACAATTAGATGAGCTCGGGTGCAAAACTCATATAGAAAATGGAATCATGAAGATTGTTAGAGGAGCGCTTGTGGTGATAAAAGGAGAAAAGATAGCTGCAAATTTGTACATGCTCAAGGGAGAGACTCTGCAAGAAGCTGATTCATGTGTGGCATCAACCAGCCGTGGAGAAGAACAAACCATGATGTGGCATCGCAAGCTAGGCCACATGTCAGAACGAGGCTTGAAGGCTCTCTCCGATCAGAAACTGCTTCCTGGACTTAATTCGGTAGTTCTTCCATTTTGCGAGCATTGTGTTACAAGCAAGCAGCATCGACTGAAGTTCAACACATCGAGTTCTAGAAGCAAGGCTATTCTGGAACTGGTTCATTCTGATGTATGGCAAGCACCAGTTACATCCTTAGGAGGAGCAAAGTACTTTGTGTCCTTTATTGATGATTACTCCAGGAGATGTTGGGTGTATCCTATCAAGAAGAAGGCGGATGTGTTCTCAGTCTTTAAAGCCTACAAAGCGCGGGTCGAGCTTGAATCTGAGAAGAAGATCAAGTGCTTAAGGTCAGATAATGGAGGAGAATACACAGACGGTGAATTCCTAGCATTCTGCAAGCATGAAGGCATCAAAAGACAATTCAGTACGGCTTATACTCCTCAACAAAATGGAGTGGCGGAGCGGATGAACAGAACTCTGTTGGAAAGAACAAGAGCTATGTTGGCTACTGCAAATCTGGAAAAAGTCTTTTGGGCGGAAGCAGTAAAAACCGCCTGTTATGTGATAAATCGATCTCCATCAACTGCAATACAATTGAAGACGCCGATGGAGATGTGGACTGGCAAGCCAGCTGATTATTCCAACCTCCATATATTTGGATGTCCAGTGTACGTAATGTACAATACTCAAGAAATTACAAAGCTGGATTCAAAATCCAGAAAATGCATATTCTTGGGGTATGCTGATGGAGTAAAGGGGTATCGCCTGTGGGATCCCACTACCCGCAAGGTTATCATCAGCAGAGATGTTATCTTTGTAGAGAACCAACTACAAAGTGAAGAGAAAGAAAGCAGTTCGAGGAAGGACTCAGAGACTGTAGCTGTTCAGGTAGAAGATAATCCGAATTCTTCTGAAGCGACACCGGAGCATGATGTACAAGAACCAGTCGAGGCCGAGGCTCCAGAAGTTCGAAGGTCAACTCGTGAGAGAAGACGACCGACTTGGCACTCGGAGTATATTACGGAGAGTAATATTGCATACTGTCTTCTAACAGAAGATGGAGAGCCATCAACTTTTCATGAAGCTATAAATGGCACAGATGCATCTTTATGGATGGCAGCAATGCAGGAAGAAATTGAAGCTCTCCATAAGAACAAGACTTGGGAACTTGTGTCACTGCCACAAGGAAGAAAGACCATTGGAAACAAATGGGTCTACAAGATCAAGCGAAATAGCGATGATCAAGTGGAGCGGTATCGTGCTAGATTGGTGGTAAAAGGATATGCTCAGAAAGAAGGTATTGATTTTAATGAAATATTTTCTCCTGTAGTTCGACTAACAACAGTCCGAATTGTCCTGGCTATGAGCGCTATATTTGACTTACATCTAGAGCAGCTAGATGTGAAAACAGCATTTCTTCATGGAGATCTTGAAGAAGAAATTTACATGCTCCAACCAGAAGGTTTTAAAGAAAAAGGAAAAGAGAACTTGGTTTGCAGATTGAACAAATCTCTGTACGGTCTAAAGCAGGCGCCGAGGTGTTGGTACAAGAGATTTGATTCATTCATCATGAGCCTTGGATACAACAGACTTAATTCAGACCCTTGCGCATATTTCAAGAGGTTTGGTGAAAATAACTTTGTTATCCTATTATTGTATGTTGACGACATGTTGGTTGCAGGTCCCAACAAAGATCGTATCCAAGAATTAAAGGCTCAGTTGGCTAGGGAATTTGAAATGAAGGATTTAGGATCTGCAAACAAGATTCTAGGGATGCAAATTTACCGAGACAGAGTTAATAGGAAGATTTGGCTTTCTCAGAAGAACTATTTGAAGAAAATCTTGCGACGCTTTAACATGCAAGATTGTAAGTCAATTTCTACCCCACTTCCTGTTAATTTCAAGTTATCCTCCAGTATGAGTCCTAGCAGTGAAGAAGAGAGGATGGAGATGTCTCGAGTACCGTATGCATCAGCAGTATGCATCAGCAGTGGGAAGCTTAATGTTCGCGATGATTTGTACAAGACCAGACATTGCACAAGCAGTGGGAGTGGTTAGTCGATACATGGCGAATCCTGGTAAAGAGCATTGGAATGCTGTAAAGAGGGTTCTAAGATACATTCAAGGAACCTCAAATGTTGCATTATGTTATGGGGGATCTGATTTTATTGTCAGTGGATATGTTGATTCTG